TATCTATTTCAATATACTTAAAAACATACATACATTTATTATAAAAAGGAAATGATCATCAGTATTAATGCCAAGACTTGCTCCCCTGCCTCCTTACTAGAGCCGATGCCTTCCACTGATCGATGAACTGTTCCTCTTCTTGGTTTACCTGTCGCTGGGTCTGAAGGAGAAGGATCTGGGGGATCGGTTCAACATTCATCAGTCCACCGTCAGCAGGATCATAAAGACTTGGGTCAATTTTTTATATACTTTACTGGGTGCTGTCGGAATATGGATGTCTCCTGAGGACATTAGAGCCACAATGCCGAGGGTGTTCGGCAAATACTCTGACACCCAAGTTATCAAGAACAAGCCACTGGTCAAGGCATGGGCCAAATAACCTGTAGCCATACAAGTTATGTTTCAGCTTGAGTGGTTTTCATTAACTGTCCTCTACTCTTGTATATATGTATCTTATATTTAGAGTGAATGAAAATAGAAAACTTACAGTGCGAAAATATTTTTTTATTTGAAATGTTTATTGTCATTAAAATAAATCTGTAGAAATCATTTTCTCTTTGTTCATTGTATTATATACATCACAATTCTTGTTACTTTTGAAAAAAAAATGTTTTAAAACATTTTTATTAAATGAAACATTTAATTTTAATACATAAGAGCTCACAAAAAGTCTTTAAAAAAAATATGAAATATAAAAATGGTCAAGAAACCAACTTAAGGGGTTAGTTTACCCCAAAATGTCCACCCCCCCAAATAATTTACTCACCTTGAAGTTGTTCCAAACCTGCATGAGTTTCTTTCTTCTGTTGGACACAAAATAAAATATTTTGAATACTGGTAACCAGGCAGTTGACTGTAGCCTTTGACTTCCATGTAAGGAAAAAATACTATGGAAGTGAATGTCTACAGTCAACTATCTGGTTTCCAGCACTCTTCAAAATATTTTGTGCTCAATTGCATTATCCTGCATCAATCGTTACACACTTTTGGAGAAGGACAAGTACTTTGGCATATACACATTAAAATAAAACTGGTCCACCCTCTCTCTGATGGCTACTGTTACCTTCGGGTCAGCATATATTCGCTGCACCATCATATCTTCCTGGGCACAGACAACAAAATCGCACCACTGCAGGCCAGTGATCAACAGTTGACCCTGGATCTGCCAGAAATAGGAGTGGCTTTCACGGAGTGCTGAAGTGCCATGCTGCATTTGAATATACTTACAGTCCACGTAGCTCTTCACGTTAGGGCACTTGATCTCGACCAGTCCAAAAGGGGGCTGTGTGGATGGATCGTAAATCAAGCCATCTGGTGAGGCACCAAGCCAAGGAGCATCAGGGTGAATGATGAGGCCGCAGGGTCTGTAGTTAACATTTTTCATTTTGGAGTACTCAACAGCAGCTTCAGACTCCATCTCTGCACCTCTTTTCATTTCTGCAGTCTGCTTTGTTCCTTTGAGGATTCTTTCCACAAGAGACTCTGCAGAACTCACTCCCCTGACAAAACACACCTCTCTGAAACGTGAAGAGGTAATTCTAGGCCTACGTAGCTGATGCCACTCCTGTTCTGCTGCTTGCTCTCTTGTGGCAGCCTCAATCTTATAGGCCATATCCAGTGTGATCATCAAGCTCTTAAGGTGGAAATGCTCCTCCTCAGTGCACACATGCATGCATTTTGTAGGTTCAAGCCTGTACTCACCAAGAGGCAGTGGTGGGTAAGATGGACAATCTTGGTGCATGTTGACTGACTTTGTTGGCATTATAGGCTGCTGGTAAGAGAGTACACTCCCCTTCTGCACCAAGCCAAATGCTGTCTCTACAAGGGTCTTCTCTTCACATATGCCCATAGTTGCCACTAAAGGTTTCTCTGTGATTGCAAAGTCTTTGAATGTGTCTTCAATCTGCACCAAAGACATGTCAAGGGGGTCCCCAACCAAGCCCTTGTAGAGTGTACTTCTGTTAAAGACAGTAATACTGAAAATGTTAAAGGAAGCAATGGTCACGCACTGACAAGTAAATATGTATAAGAAACAGTTTTACCATATTATTTCGAGAAGAGTACAGCAGGGGTATTCAAAAATACCTATGAGTGCAGCATCTCCTATCCACCTTATTCTTTAACACGCAAGTAAACCTATGGGTGAGACTTTTACTATACTGCCTATGACCCTGTAGATTGTATAACCATCCATGAACCATGCAGTATTTACAGTGATGGGTTCGGGTCCAACTTTCGAATAATGGTCGGGTCTGCGTAGTACATTTAAGGCATTTCTCAGGTCTGCACGGGTTCGGGTCCCACTTTTAAATAAAATACGGGTCCGGGTCGGTTCCTTGCAGCACATTTACGGGTCTCTTTGTGTTCGGGTCAGAATTTTTGGACCCGTGAAGACCTCTACTCCACAAACTATAGGAACAAAACAGTTAAATCTAGGATTTCTATTGCCATTTTTGTGATCTCTCACAATTTAAAAATCTGATAAGATTTTTTTTTAGTGTGGTGCAGCCTTAATTGACTCACCTGATTCCTCCTTCCAGTCGGGTGAGTCTTGGTCTGGTGATGACCTTCTTGTTTATTGGCCCAGGTTTCACTCCCTGATAGGAAAAAACACAATAATATATAAAATATAAGAGACAAGAAAATGAAAAAGAAACCACACAAAAAACTAACTAGTCAGGCAAAGTAACTATCTATGACTGCCTATGTCAAAATGAGGGCAAACAAATTGCATTTAATAATACATTTACATCCTTATAAGGTTCCTGATCATTACAAGCAGAAATGTGGCATTGACAAAACATGCTTCCAATATTGTCTATATGATAATATAACTAATGACAGGAGTCGCGTCTCAACACTCACAGCTGTTCTGGGCTTGTGCCACTGTTGCTCTGTCTCAGTGCAGGAGTGGACAGGGGGCACAACCTGCATATTAAGCTCAGAATAATGTGCTGTTTGCAACAGCAATGCAACAATGTGGTTGCACACAGCAGTCCCAGCTACACATGAGCACCGGTGTGAAACCAGGATGACAGGGTATGAATCCCGAAGAACAATCTGTACAAAAATATACGGAGAGAATTTTTTACTACAAATAATGACATTGACTTGAGTATCAGTTTAGTTAGGTTGCTGGGGCAAGTTTGACAATGCCATTAATAACAAAAATGCAATAGCAGAATTTGTTAATTTTGGAATACCTGATTATGAATAACATGGAATAAAAAACAAACTCAGGACTTACAGTGTCAACTATCCTCATCCTTTAACAAGTAGAGAAACAACAACAATGAACTTGGAACAACCCTTATGTAAATTAACCATAGTTTTACAGTAAATAAAACAAAAAAATGGTTATTGTAGTTAAACCATTGTAACAACAAATTAACCATAATTTTGTTACACTAACCATAGTTTAACCATGGTATTTATAATAAAGTAGTAGTTATACAAATGGTATTCAATTCGCCAAAAAACTATGGTTACTACACTTATACTATAATAAATCCATGGTTAATTTTCGTAAGGTAACTCTGCCTCTCAGGACAATAAAGAGACTTGGAGATGATCACAGATTCGTCTATTCTTACTCCAACTCCGAACGGCTTAATAAAAACTGTCCCTGAACTGGAACAGACAGAACTGGAACAGAACAGCCACGCCATCCCTAACATTACTCTCAGGCTGTGTGGCTTCTCGCTTTTCCTCATAGACCTGTGACATGCTGCCTTAATGCTGACATCACCAGTCAGCTTGTCTTTATTAGATACTGGTGAAAAAAAATCACAACGTGTTAATGTGAATATGTAGATCCATCCATACATACATAAAAAAGACTAGGCAGATTGTTAGCATTAGCTAGCTAGCGACATTGTACAGCATTTCCGCTCCGCTAGCTTACATACCCTCGTAGTCCATAATGTACGAGGAAGCATATAACTTGAATCCCTTATCCATTTTGGTGGCTGGATGTTTTAGATGTTAGCGAGCATATCCGATGGACATCGGTTATTCGCATCTTTGGTAGCTCCTGAAGGCTTCGTGTATAAAACACTGCCATGTCAGCGTAGAGCGTACAAAACCGGAAGCGATCTACTATGGTTTGCGGAACGCGGAAGTAAGATAGCGCATATACCCTATAGTGTTTCGAATGCTGTCTGTATGCACAAGTACCTGAAGTCAAGCAGTGTTCTATCTGTGATTATTTCCTCTAATTAAAGCAAAGTAGTGTAGTAAAGTATTATCAAAGATGGCGACATCCATACAACTAAAAGTCTTATCACAATTAACACGACAAGAGTCCAGTCGAGGCATGACTTCATCTGTTAAATCTGAACCAGCAGCAGCTTTTATAATTGGAGTAGATAGGATTATTTGAGTCATACACACACAGCACACAACTTGAACACTGCAAAAAATGCTTTTCCTACTTAGTTTTTTTTGTCTTTATACTTGTTTTCAGCCAAAATATCTAAAAATTCTTAAATCAAAAAGGATTTTCTAGACAAGTAAAAATTATTGTCTTGTTTTCAGAAAAAACAAGTCAAAATTAAGTGAGTTTTTGCTTAGAACAAGCAAAATAATCTGCCAGTGGGGTAAGCAAAATAATCTTATTTCAAACAGAAAACAAGATTATTTTGCTTACCCCATTGGCAGATAATTTTGCTTGTTTCAGGCAAAAACTCACTTAGTTTTGACATGTTTTTTCTGAAAACAAGACAATAATTTTTACTTGTCAAGAAAATCCTTCTTGATTTAAGAATTTTTTGATATTTTGGCTGGAAACAAGACAAAAAATCTAAGTAGGAAAAGCATTTTTTGCAGTGAAGTGACAGTTTTCAACCAAAATTGATTTTACAGACATTTAAGGATGGCAGACGTATTCAGATACTTTTTGGGAGCACTATATACTGACAGTATTAATGATGCACCATTTTTCACTGAGCCTCGTTTGCGGTCAAGTAACATTTTTTTTTTTCTGTTTCTTGTTAGGAATCAACAGCCAACTTTCCTTTCCCTTCTCCTCCTCCACTCATCCCAAAGGCATCACAGCCCCAACTCAGTGGGATCAATCCTTTTTCTAGGAGCGCTGGTGAGTAAAGATCATCTGTACGTCTTGCCTGGTTTTGGCATCACTGACTCGAAGCTCTGAGACGGTTACACTGAATGAGTCTGAGCTGACAGAATCAAACTTTTCTTGAATCACTGCACTTTTCGTTCTGTTTGACAACTGTCAATTTTAACATCCAACCCTGATCATACATCTCTTGCAGAATTAGTAAAGAGGGATAAAAAAATGCAGTTTGTTTTGTCTTATTTGAAAATACAAAATAATAACGGGTCAATTTAAAATGTAGTTATTTTGTCTTGTGGACTGTATATAAACATCTGTTATGTGAAATAGCTTAGTTGGGGGATTACTAAATAAAATGCCATTTTAATTTTATTTTTTATTTAAAATTTATTAAAAAATAAAGCCTTTTCAAATTTTATCCACTTAACATATAACATAGTCAATAAAGTTCATTTAATTTTTCTTAGGGTTCTTGAAGTGGAAATATGGAAAACGGTGAATTTTACATTTCTGATTTCTGGGCCTGGAAAAGTAAAGGTTAATAAGATCTTAAAAAGCAAAAAGAAAGTTGTGGAAATTTGTTGGTCAAAAGGTGCTTTTATCTGGAATAATTATGTAATATTTATGTTTGACATCCATATATGGCCAGTATTTTTGCACACGTTAGATATTTTAAAGTTCAAACAAGAGTTTTTTTAACAAGTTTAATATAAGCATAATTTTCTTTCTTTGTTACAGGACAAAAATTGTCTGGGACAATGAGTCCGAATCAAGGGTCCATTTCACAGGTAGAAATCCTTATAAATGCCTATATTTATCATAACTGTCATGCAAATATTCAGGTTAATTGTTTTGTTCATAGGGTCCCTAATGAAGGTTCGTAATTGAGGAATAATCATCAAATGAGGAACTCTGGGATGGACTTTCAGCCTCGTGACTAGTGTTCACATGACCAAGGGATTCCATAGGCACACCCCTTCAGTTCCACTAGAGGAGGTCAGAGGGGCCTATGCATCTTTATATACAGTAACACCTGTGGTTACAGAAATACACTGAGGACATAGAGTTCTTGATATAATCTGTTAAGGGTTTGGTGCCCAGTCTTCTTTGAATGAAGACACTGAACAGCTGAGGCACAGCTCCCCGTGCTGACTCTAGGGATTTGTGTCATTCCCTTTGGGAACGGGGACCAGATGGAAATGGGTGCTGAGCAAAGGTGCTGTGACCTATGGAAACATTAATTTAAGACGTCTCCTCAGCTGGCAATGTCAGTAAATTGTATAACATGTAACACTTCCATCCCTCATCCCACCCCCCCACATGCAAAATTATTGTAATAATTTAAGTGGCTTTCACAATTCAAATGTTTAAGATATGGCGCCGGAGAGTAGTGAAAATGTGGGAAATGTTGTAATTGTACAGGTGGTCCCTTTGGGTCACAGCCTTGATTTATTCCAGAGGAAGAGATATTGAATTAAACATGTTTTATTCAATATCTCTACCAAAAAAAAAAAACTTTTTGTTGTAAAAAAAAAATCTAATAAAAAGCAATAGTATTTGTACATGCCAATGTATTTGATTAACAAGTAAAAATATAATTAGTCAACTAAAAATATGCTATGAGCCAACAATTCTTGTTGCATAGCAGAACAGTGGAATTTGACAAGATGTATGCCATCTTCTTTTACCATGAGTGTGCAGATCTGGCAGCAGAGGGACAAATGTTAGCAGAAGTGTGGAACTCTGGGAATTAGGTCTTGTGTTCTATACATACAGAGGGAACAACATGATTGAGTCACTACACACTCTGATGTTTCCAACACCACATTTCACACATAAATCCTGAAAAATACTTTTATTTAGTCTGTGACATTTTAAATTGAAAAAAAAGCATTTTTGTTTATGATGGTAATGACATATTCACAATTATACACCATGTAATTTAATTTAAGTCCAAAAGAAAAGGTAACAGTTTATAATTAATTTAATTCATCATATAACATGTTCCACCAACCCCATCCTCACAACCTCAAAATACAATTACACATTTTCCCCTACTGCATACATTTAGTACCAAAATATAGCACTACCACATAGTAATAGTAACATTATATAGCTTTAACAACATATCTTGTAACTTGAAATAGCACTGCGCATCCGACAGCTCTAAGAGAATTCACAATATTCTTGATCACTTTCTCTGTTTCTCTCGCACACAAAATCTGCCTTGTTTGGCAAGATGCCATCAGCTGCCATTAACATTTTTCAAATGGCTCACCAGTGTGTTTACAGTGTGTTCTTTTACTAGGAATATACACAGTGATTTATTTGAAATCAAAGTTTTTCATTAGTGGTCCCCACAATTCCCTGCAGTTAACACTACTGAAAATAAGTACAAGCCAAATGTTTTTTTTTTTATTCTAGCTATAACTATGTTGTTAAATATGTCTAAATATAACTATGTTGTTAAGGCTGAATTCTGATAGATAGATAGATAGATAGATAGAATAACCCA